TCGAGATCCCAAAGTAATATTCTTACTGCAGTAAAATATAAACACAGTAAAACATAAAGGTTCTCCACAAGGCAGAAAGCAAAAATTAGAGCCCAGGTGTATTTGCTCAAAGCCAAGGATTTTTACATTGTGGGTTTTTCAAGATATCGGTGGCACATATGCCATACATTTAAATAATATCAGCCAATTTCTGGGAAAGGAAGCCATTATTCTAGTGCTCAGATTTTTTTTGTCACATTTGTTTAGGATTGATTACAGACAGTAATCTTGTTTGACAGAAATACAGTCCCAACTCAGCTCACATTTGAGCCTGGCTACCAAAGCAGTTACTTGTTTTTCAATGCTCACTAACACCATGGATCTGGGCAGGGAGAAGCTGAAGTGCAAGGTTCCTGTGGAATTCTAGTGTCTGCCACTGGATTAAATCATGGGTACCATTCTTAGTCGGAAGACCCCTGCAAGGTGTCAAGGTTAGACGAGACTATATCCTCCTGGCGTATATTTAGTATAGTAGGGGATATATCCTCCCCTACATTTAGTACTGTAATGGGTAGTAAACAACCACTGCATACTGGGGAGCCAGAGAGATGAAGATAAATAAGATGCTGGCTTCTCTTAAGGAATGCACCAATTGGTGGCTGATACACAGGAATTCTCTGATCACTGTGGAAGCCTGCTAGTCAGCTGTGATTCCAATCTCAGCATCAGAGTCTTGTTAAGAGACACACTGTGTCTTGCTCAGGAGTTGCTAGCAAGCAGTCACTTTTCTTAGAAACTACCAGTGAACTTTACTCAGAGACTACCAGCCCCCAGGTGGGAATTGATGGGCCAGCCAGTACACAGGTGGGCAAGCCACACAAACCAGATGTTATTTATATATTAGTTGATACTTGCAAATAACCATATAGTTATATGCAAACAATTATGCACATGTTATTTCTCCCAGTCATCTAACTTGTTCCACTGTCATCCTCCTTTCACGTGTGAGCACCTGAAACAATGGAGAAAACAGAGTGGCAGGGAAGGGTCACAGCATACATGCAACAGGGACCACACTGGAATATCCAATCTGCTGTGTAAGCTCTGCAGCGTCACAGCACAGGAAACTCATCTTCATATACAGTCTCATGCAGAACTAAGCCATGGGAAGCAGGACAAGTGGAGCTGATGCTTCACTGAAGCAGGGAAGCACCTGAAACCACCCACCCCAGTCCATTCCTCAGAGCAACCTGGATTCCAGCTCCACAGGGCATGGTGTGAAAACCACTGCACTGGTTCAAGAGAGCAGGGAGTGATCATTAATTCATTAACAGGTCCAACGTGCAAAATATGTAAAGCTGTTCCCATCTGAACACACAGTTAAAGGAAATTCTAGGGAACTGTGAGTCTCTCCTAGCAGGTAATACTGCAAAGGAGCAGGCTCATGTAACAAAGTACACACAGACACACCATGCCACAATCCTTTATTCAGTTGCTAAGTTGTGTCTGATTCTTTGCGATCCCATGGACTGCAGCACACCAGGCGTCCCTATCCTTCACTATCTTCGGGAGTTTGCTCAAACTCATGTCCATTGAGTCAGTGATATCATCCAACCATCTCATTCCTTGTCACCTCCTTCTCCTCCTGCACTCAATCTTTCCCAGCATCCAGGTCTTTTCCAATGAATCAGCTCTTCACATCAAGTGGCCAAAGCATTGGAGGTTCAGCTTCAGCTTCAGCATCAGTCCTTCCCATGAATATTCAGGATTCAGTTCCTTTAGGATTGACTGGCTACTTCCTTGCTGTCCAAGGAACTCTCAAGAGTTCTCTAGCACTACAATTCGAAAGCATCAATTCTTCAGCGTTCAGCCTTCTTTATGATCCAACTCTCACATCCATACATGACTACTAGAAAAACCGTAGCTTTGACTATACGGACCTTTGTTGGAAAAGTGAAGTCTCTGCTTTTTAATATGCTGTCTAGGTTTGTCATAGCTTTTCTTCCAAGGAGCAACCATCTTTTAAGCCATGCATATGGCTTCAGTCACCCTCCGTGGTGATTTTGGAGCCCAAGAAAATAAAGTCTGTCACTGTTTCCATTTTTCCCTGTCTATTTGCCATGAAGTGAGGGATTGAATGCCATGATCTTAGTTTTCTGAATACTGAGTTTTAAGCTAGCTTTTCCACTCTTCTCTTTCACGTTCTTCAAAAGGCTCTTTAGTTCCTCTTCACTTTCTGCCATAAGGGTGGTGTCATCTGCATATTGAGGTTATTGATATTTCTCCTGGCCATCTTGATTCCAGCTTGGGATTCATCTAGCCCAGCATTTTGCGTGACGTACTCTGCATATAAGTTAAATAAGCAGGTTGACAATGTAGAGACCTGACATACACTTTTCCCAATTTTGAACCAGTCTGTTCCATGTCCAGTTCTAACTGTTGCTTCTTGACCTGCATACAGGTTTCTCAGGAGACAGGTAAGATGGTCTGGTATTCCCATCTCTTTAAGAATTTTCCACAGTCCTGGCAGTCCTCAAACGCAGTATCACAAGACTCATTTGCTACAATGAGGGTCCACAATGGTAACTTCTAAACAAGATATATCCGGTTATTGTGGGAGTAACCCCTACCTAAGCACATGATTCTGGCCAGTTCCTTTCACTTTTAAAGTTATTACATACAATATTCTTAGATGAGAAGAATTAAAGATGTAAATTCTCACCAAACTAGTATTTAAATGTAAAGAACTTTTAATGAAATTTAGTGAAAATTAAATTTTAATGAATTTTAATGAAAATCCCTAAGGGATTTTTAAATTCAAATTAGACTTTAAAAATTATTGTACAGGTCCTCCAGAAGAAGAGGTAAACACATTTTTTAAAATATTAAATAATAATAAGAGTAGGGTAAATAAGGGCTCAACTTACAATAATGCTATGACAATAAAAAGGGTGGTAAGGATTCAGAAAAAAGAGATGAAATCACCAGTGGAACAAAACAGAAATCCCTGAAACAAATCTAAATTAATTAATTGGTGAGGGTGGAGTGGTGTCAAGGGGACAGAGATCCCTACCTCACATACCACACCAAAAATAAAGTCCATGTATATTACATATTGAAACTATAAAACTGAAACTATATCAGTCTCCCAAGGCAATAGAAATAAAAACAAAAATAAATAAATGGGACCTAATCAAGCTTACAAGCTTTTGCACAGCAAAGGAAATTATTTTTTAAAAAAAGAAAGAAAAGACAAGCTACAGAATGGGAGAAAATATTTGCAAATGATGTGAAAGACACAGGCTTAATTCCCAAAATATACAAACAGCTCATGCAACAACAACAACAAAACCCAACTGAAAAATGGGCAGAAGACCTTGATAGACATTTCTCCAAACAAGACCTACAGATGGTCAACAGGTACATGAAATGATGGTCAATATCACTCATTATTAGAGAAATGCAAGTCAAAACTACAATGAGCTATCACCTCATACCAGTCAGAATGGCCATCATTAAAAAGTCTACAAACAACAAATGTTAGAGAGGGTGTGGGGGAAAGGGAACCCTCCTATACTGTTGGTGGAAATGTAAATTGGTACAGCCACTATGGAGAACAGTATGGAGGTTCCTCAGAAAACTAAGACTAGAACTACCATATGATCCAGCAATCCCACTCCTGGGCATACACCTGGGCAAAACTATAATTCAAAAAGATACCTGCACACCAATGTTCATAGCAGCATTGTTCCCAATAGCCAAGATATGGATACAACCTAAATGTCCATAGACAGATGAATGGATAAAGAAGATACTGTACATACATACAATGGAATACTACTCAGTCATAAAAAAGAATGAAATAATGCCATATGCAGCAACATGGAGATTGCAGCAGACCTAGAGATTACCATACTAAGTGAAGTAAGTCAGAAAGAGAAGCACAAATACAATATGATACCACTTCTATGTAGAATCTAAAATATGCCACAAATGAACCTATCTCCAAAACAGAAACAGACTCACAGACACAGAGAATGGACTTATGGTTGCGAAGGGTGAGGAGGGAAGGGAGAGGGATGGACTGGGAGTTTGGAATTAGTAGACACAAAATATTACATTTAGAGTAGATAAACAACAAGGGCCTAACATATAGCACAGGGAACTATATCCAATTTCCTGGGACAAACCATAATGGAAAAGAATATTTTTAAAAGAATATATATGTATATACACACATATATATAAAACTGAGTCACTTAGCTGTACAGCAGAAATTAGCACAACACTGTAAATCAACTATACTTTAAAATTTTTTCCTCTGAAACTATAAAAGCGCTAGTGGGAAACAAATGGGTAATTATATAATCATCTTTTGACAGGGAAAGAGTTTAGGCATGATACTAAAGACATAATCCACCAAAGTAAAAGATCTGACCACGTTCAAAGAAAACATAAATAAGGACTACATAAAGTCTTTATTTAAAGTTCTTTCGTGAAAATAAAAATGAAGATAAATCTAACAAAAACTATTGAAAACCATTAACAACTTAAAAACAAAACCACTCTGAAAAAGTATGTGTAATCAAAGGATTAATGTCCTTTATATACGAAGAACTTACTAATCATCAAGAAGAAGGGTAATAGCAAAAGGAAAATTAGGGCAAAGGATATGAACAGGGTATTAATAAAACAAAAAAGCCAATAAACATATAAAATATTCATGTACATGTATTACTCAGAAAGTCAACAAAAGAAAATCCCTTTTTTTCACCTACCAAAATGACAAATATCTGTAAAATAATACGCAGCATCAGCATGATTTGGAAAACTGACATATTACTCTTGTAGATGTGATTAAATCACTTTCATTCAGAGAAAAATGTATGCTTATTAAGAGGGGAAAAAATGACTCTCCGCTTTAAAAAATAAATCCTACAATGATATTAAATTTTATGAGAAGCCTACAATGTTGATAATTGTATCTTGAGTCACTGCTAAGGACACAGTAAGCTGGTTACCTTGAAGACAGCTTGCATCCCTGTAGGAGGTAGGCATTCAGATTCCCAGTTGCCGCAAGTAACAGCCCCAGGTATGGAGGGGAAGGCTTCATTGGCCTAGAAGAAAACTCGGGATGGAACTGGACACCAACAAAATAGGGATGATCTGAAATGAGAATAATTACAATGCAATTGAAGCTGATAAATCTGAGAATAGCCTTAAAAATCTTATCTTTAAATAAGAAAACTCATTACATGGTAAGATTTAACTTGTTACCTATATCATAGCCAGATATTTTCATGATACAACTTGGTAGTAGAATTTCAAATTGTAAAACACATCTCGCTAACAAGAGATTCAGCATTTTATTTGTGGAAATAGATCAAGAAAAGTTAAGCAAAAGTTTTGAATGGGAAGATGATCTGCTATCGAGGCCCTTCCAAGACTTGCAATGGTTCTGTTTCCATGGGTGGGGTCCAGGGCAGGCTACCCCAAAGTATGTCTCAATGGCATACTGATTATTTTGAATTAAAATTACTTAAGATTGAGCTGATGTAAGAGGGACACTTTGACACACACTCCACCCAGTCTCCCTAAAAGCAGGAAATAACCCTCTCATGTGAAAGGTACACTCTTAGCATATGGAGGTGGAAGGACATCCTTATCACTAGAGACATGCATCTGGGCAGAGGAGCCTATATAAACACATTTTGTGACTTCTTTCATTTATTACCCAAGCTCAAATTTCATTTAGATTCTTCACTAATTAAGCACTCAAAGCCTAAGTTTCTTTGTCCTATTAATTCCTCATATATTTATTGTTTCTGTGTCTAAAAAGTACAAAACTTACCTACTTTCTCCACTTTTTAGGTTCCATTTCTAAGAGACCTCCATTTGTACAATTTTTTCTTTTTCTCCTGTTTATCTGTCTTGCATCAATTTTATTATTAGTCCAGTCACAAGAACTCAAGAGGGTAGAGGGGGAAAGTTCCCCTCCCCCAACAGCCTGATATCCTCATACGTCAGGCTAACTGTAAGTCACTTTCAGATGGCTTCAGGCCATTTCCTACAAGTTCTCCTCTCCCACGGGATGGGTCCCCTGGGAAAGAAGCAGGTATAACTGCTTTTCTAGTCATAGCTCTGGGCTGGATATTAACCACAGACAGCACCATGAAGCTAATCAGGCACTCATACTTCAGCTATGTCAGTTTATCTTCCCCTTCATGAACCACAGCCTTGTCGTGGCAAAGGGGCTTGCCTAACTCAATGAAGCTATAAGCCATGCCCATAGGGCCATCTAAGATGGACAGGTCATAGTCAAGAGTTCTGACAAATTGTGGTGCACTGGAGAAGGAAATGGCGAACCACTCCAGTATTCTTGCCACAAGAAGCCCATGAACAGTATGAAAAGGTAAAAAGATATGACACCTCAAGATGAGACCCATCCTATGTCAGAAGATGTCAAATATGCTACTGGGGAAGAGTGGAGGACAATTACTAATAGCTCCAGAAAGAATGAAGTGGTTGGGCCAAAGCAGAAACAACGCTCAGTTGTGGATGTATTTGGTGGTGAAAGTAAACTCTGATGCTGTAAAGAACAATATTGCATAAGAACCTGGAATGTTAGGTCCATGAATCAAGGTAAATTGGATGTGGTCAAGTAGGAGATGGCAAGAATGAATATCAACATCTTAGGAATCAGTGAACTAAAATGGATGGGAATAGGCAAATTTAATTCAGATGACATGTATGGATGGGAGAGTTGGACTATAAAGAAAGATGAGCACCGAAGAATTGATGCTTTTGAACTGTGGTGTTGGAGAAGACTCTTGAGAGTCCCTTGGACAGCAAGGAGATCCAACCAGTCCATCCTAAAGGAAATCAGTCCTGAATATTCATTGGAAGGACTGACACTGAAGCTGAAACTCCAATACTTTGGCCACCTGATGCAGAGAACTGACTCATCTGAAAAGACCCTGATGCTGGGAAAGATTGAAGGCAGGAGAAAAAGGGCATGACAGAGGATGAAATAGTTGGATGGCATCACTGACTCAATGGAAATGAGTTTGAGGAAACTCCAGGAGTTGGTGATGGACAGGGAGGCCTGGCATGCTGCAGTCTATGGGGTTGCAAAGAGTCAGACACAACTGAGCGACTGAAATGAACTGAATGGAACTGACCATTATGTCTACTACTGTGGGCAAGAATGCCTTAGAAAAAAATGGAGTAGCCCTCACAGTAAACAAGAAAATTCGAAATGTAGTACTTAGGTGCAATCTCAAAAATGACAGAATGATCTCAGTTCATTTCCAAGGCAAACCATTCAATATCACAGTAATCCAAGTCTATACCCTAACCACTGATGCCAAAGAAGCTGAAGTTGACTGGTTCTATGAAGACCTACAAGACTTTCTAGAACTAACACCAAAAAGAGATGTCCTTTTCATCATGGGAATTAGAATGCAAAAGTAGAAAGTCAAGAACTACCTGGAGTAACAGGTAAGTTTGGCCTTGGAGTACAAAATGAAGCAGGTCAAAAGCTAACAGAGTTTTGTCAAGAGAACACACTGGTCATAGCAAAAACTTTTCCAACAACAAAAGAGATGATTCTACAAATGGACATCACCAAATAGTCAATACTGATATCAGACTGATCATATTCTTTGCAGCCGAAGATGGAGAAGCTCTATACAGTCAGTAAAAACAAGACCTGGGGCTGACTGTGGCTCAAATCATGAGCTCCTTATTGCAAAATTCAGGCTTAAATTGAAGAAAGTAGGGAAAACCACTAGGCTATTCAAATAAGACCTAAATCAAATCCCTTAGATTATACAGTGGAGGTGAAGAGTAGATTCGAGGGATTAGATCTGGTAGACAGAATGCCTGAAAAACTATAACACTGTACAGAAGGCAGTGACCAAAACCACCCCAAAGAAAAAGAAATGCAAGAAGGCACAGTGGTTGTCTGAGGAGGCTTTAGAAATAGCTGAGGAAAGAAGGGGAATGAAAGTCAATGGAGAAAGGGTAAGATATACCCAACTGAATGCAGACTTTCAGAGACTAGCAAGGAGAGACAAGAAGGCCTTCTTAAATGAACAATGTAAAGAAATAGAGGAAAACAACAGAATGGGAAAAACTAGAGATCTCTTCCAGAAAATTGGAGATACCAAGGGAACATTTCATGCAAGGATAGGCACAATAAATGGATAAGGATCTAAAAGAAACAGAAGAGATTAAGAACAGGTGGCAACAGCAATCCCACTCCTAGGCTTATACCCTGAGGAAACCAAAACTGAAAAAGACACATGTACCCCAATGTTCACTGCAGCACTATTTACAATAGCTAGAACATGGAAGCAACCTAGATGTCCATCAACAGATGAATGGATAGAGAAGTTGTGGTACATATACACAATGGAATATTACTCAGCCATAAAAAGGAATGCATTTTAGTCCATTCTAATGAAGAGGATAAACCTAAAGCCTATTATACAGAGTGAAGTAAGTCAGAAAGAGAAAGATAAATATCGTATACTAAAGTATATATATGGAATCTAGAAAGATGGTGCTGACGAATTTATTTGCAAGGCAGCAATGGAGAAACAGACATAGAGAACAGACTTATAGACACAGGGAGAAGGGTGGAGAGGGTGAAATGTATGGAGAGAATAACATGGAAACTTACATTACCATATGTAAAACAGATAGCCAACGGGAATTTGATGCATGTCTCAGTGAACTCAAACAGAGGCTCTGTAACAACCTAGAGGGGTGTGATGGGGAGAGAGACGGGAGGGAGGTTCAAGAGGGAGGGACATATGTATACCTATGGCTGAATCATGTTGATGTGTGTTTTTTTTTTTTTCATGTTGATGTTTGACAGAAAACAACAAAATTCTGTAAAGCATTTATCCTTCAATTTAAAAATAAATAAATTTTTAAAAAATAAATAAAAAAGAAGTGGCAAGAATACACACCAAAAAAACTGTACAAAAAAGATGTTAATGACTCAATAACCACGATGGTGTGATCATTCACCTAGAGCCAGACATCCTAGAGTGCGAAATCAAGTGGGCCTTAGGAAGCATCACTAAGAACAAAGCTAGTGAAGGTGATGGAACTCCAGCTGAGCTATTTCAAATCCTAAAAGATGATGCTGTTTAAGTGCTGCACTCAATATGCCAGCAAATTTGGAAAACTCAGCAGTAGCCACCAGACTGGAAATGGTCAGTTTTCTTTCCAATTCCAAAGAAAGGCAAAGCCAAAGAATGTTCAAACTACAGTACAGTAGTGTTCATTTCACATGCTAGTAAAGTTATGCTCAAAATCTTTCAAGCTAGGCTTCAGCAGTACATGAACTGAGAACTTCCAGATGTACAAGCTGGGTTTAGAAAAGGCAGAGGAATCAGAGATCAAATTGCCAACATTCATCAGATCATAGATAAAGCAAGAGAATTCTAGAAAAACATCTACTTCTGCTTCATTGACTACACTAAAGTCTTTGACTGTGTGGATCACAACAAACTGTGGAAAATTCTTAAAGAAATGGGAATACCAGACCACCTGACCTGCCTCCTGAGAAACCTGTACGCAGATCAAGAAGCAACGGTTAGTACTGAACATGGAACAATGGACTGGTTCAAAATTGGGAAAGGAGCACGTCAAGGCTCTATATTGTCACCCTGCTTATTTAACTTATATGCAGACTACATCATGCGAAATGCCAGGCTGGACAAAGCACTAGCTGGAATCAAGATTGCCAGGAGAAATATCAATAACCTCAAATATGCAGATGATACAACCCTCATAGCAGAAAGCAAAGAGGAGAGTGAAAAGCTGGCTTTAAACCAACATTCAAAAAAAATATGATCATGGCATTTGATCCCATCACTTCATGACAAATGGAAGGGAAAAAAGTAGAAGCAGTGACAGATTGTATTTTCTTGGGCTCTAAAATCACTATGGACAGTGACTGCAGCCATGAAATTAAAAGATGCTTGCTCTTTGGAAGGAAAGCTATAACAAACCTAGACAGTGCATTAAAAATCAGAGATATTACTTTACTGACAAAGGTCTGTATAGTCAAAGCTATGGTTTTTCCAGTGGTCATGTACAGATGTGAGAGATGGACCATAAAGAAAGCTGAGTACTGAAGAATTGATGCTTTCAAATTGTGGTGCTAGAGAAGATTCTTCAGAATCTCTTGGACTGCAAGGAGATCAAACCAGTTAATCTTAAAGGAACTCAACCTTGACTATTCATTGGAAGAAGTGATACTGAAGCTGAAGCTTCAATACTCTGGCTACCTGATATGAAGAGCTGACTCACTGGAAAAGACCTTGATTCTGGGAAAGACTGAAGGCAAAAGTAGAAGATGGAGGCAGAGGATGAGATGGTTAGATAGCATCACCAACTCAATGAACATGAATTTGAGCAAACTACGGGAGATAGTGGAGGACAGAGGAGTCTGGGATGCTGCAGTCCATGGGGTCGCAAAGAGTCAGACACGACTTAGCAACTGAACAACAGCAACTTATCACCTGTAATGAAGAGTCTCCAAGTGGTAAAAGGATGGCCCTTCAATATGTTAATAGTGGTTATGGCTCAAGGTGACAAAAGTTCAATATATTTTTATTTTCTTCATTATAATTCTTTGTATCATGTGAACCTTTACAGTGAATTTCTTACATTGGGCTTCCCTGATAGCTCAGTTGGTAAAGAACCCGCCTGCAGTGCAGGAGACCCCAGCTTGATTCCTGGGTCGGGAAGATCCCCTGGAGAAAGGAAAGGCTACCCACTCCAGTTTTCTTGGGCTTCCCTTGTGGCTAAGCTGATAAAGAATCCACCTGCAATTCAGGAGACCTAGGTTCGATCCCTGGGTTGGGAAGATCCCTTGGAGAAGGGAAAGCTACCCACTTCAGTATTCTGGCCTGGAGAATTCCATGGACTGTATAGTCCATGGGGTCGCAAAGAGTTGGACATGACTGAGGGCAAATAAAGCTGTTACATATTGAGAGTTGTAAGAAACCCCTATATGAGCAGTTCAAGTTCTCCTAGATGTAATAGGAACAGAAAAATCGCTTTTCTCAGGTATCTGGAATCCCCTGTTTGTGAATGGTAAAAATTAATGGGCAACATTTTCAAATCTGGGTAAAAATTTTCTAGGATTACAAATTCCTTTCCCCACTCAGAACTCTCAGAAACTATGTTTATTCCCAGGTTAGGAAGCAACTCCTAATTGGAGATTGGGCAACTCTCTATTCCCATAACTCCCATAGTAAAAGCATGGTTGGTATGTAGTCCTTACTTTAAAAATAATTTTAATGGCCATATATATATATATCAAACTGAATATGATAAAATATAACTTTTATAGGAAGAAGTAAATATAATTTTAAATCTTTCAATGGGACGCTCTATCAAATGATCTGAAAGTCTAGTATGGAATTCAAAATCACAAATCCCCATCACTTACCACTGAAGACCCCAAACTACTGCTCAGTAGTGAGGAAATGCTGGTTGAATGGCAATATCCATTCTCCTAAGATTATCATTTAAAGTTTAGTCCTTATTGTAATGAAATAGATAACAGTCTAGCAGATTGTTCTCATCTAATGGTTATAAAGCTTTAGAATAGGAAAGGACTTCAGAAGTAGGGTAAATGTCCAGGTATAGATGCAAAAGCCTGGAGAAGCTTTGTTCTGGTCAGCTAGCTGAGGTTTCAGCTTTCATCATCTGACTATTAGCTGACGCTTCCCTTTGCACCTGTGGGGCCAGGTGTGTCCTGGGGCACTCACTACCCGCTTCAGAAGCCTTGATGCAAGATCACCGTTTGTTCCCTTCTGCAAGGATTGATCTTTCAGTTTTCAGATGATGATCCTTCTCCTATTTTGAGTCTCCTTTATAAAATAGTGGCAGTATAAGATAGTAGTTTTTGTGTCTGTTTTCATTTTTGCTGTGCTCTGCTCAGTCGCTAAGTTGAGTCCAACTCTGCGACCCCATGGATTATAGCCTATCAGGTTCCTCTGTCCATGAAATTTTCCAAGCAAGAATACTGGAGCAGGTTACCATTTCCTTCTCCAGGAGATCTTCCTGACCCAGGAATCGAACCTGCATCTCCTGTGTCTCCTGCATTGGCAGGCGGATTCTCACTCACTGAGACACACCTGGGAAGCCCGTTTTCATTTTTACTTCTTACTTACTAACTAAACAAAAGTTGGAAATCCCCCAGAATACCCACCAGAATAAAGCTCTGCTATACAAAATGGCAGCCCTTGGCCACAGGTGACCATTTAAATTCATTCAAAGTAACTGAGCACATTTTAAGTGCTGAAGTGAAGTGGAGTCACTCAGTCCTGTCCGACTCTTTGCGACCCCATGGACTGTAGCCTACAAGGCTCCTCTGTCCATCGAATTTTCCAGGCAAGAGTACTAGAGTGGGTTGCCATTTCCTTCTCCAGGGGATCTTCCCGGCCCAGGGATCGAACCTGGGTCTCCCACATTGCAGGCAGACGCTTTACCATCTGAGCCACCAGGGAAGCCATTTTAAGTGTGAAATAGCCCCAAACAGCTAGTGGCTACCATACTGAACAGGGCAGAATACTCCATCATTGCAGCAGGTTCTACTGGACAGCTCTGAATTCAGAAAATTCCAGTGTAGAAATCCTCTATAGCATATCTAGGAAGAAGCCTCCTTGAATTAGAGGGACACTCAAGTGTGAAAGCTTGGTGAGAGGAATGCCCTCTCCTCTCAGGAAAGTGTCCCCTCAAGAAAAGAAGAGAAATCATTTGTCCTTAGAAAAGAAACCAGTGCAGCTTTTAAAGACGTGATGAATCCTGCAGCACAGCATCTAGGGATGTCTCTGAAAGAAGCTGACAATAATTGTGTTTTTGTACCACTACAGACAGAAGGTGAGCAATGGATCGTGTCATAGCCAAGGAAAGAATATTTTAATGAATGGACCATTGCTCTGAATCACTTTATTTAAAAAATCCCCTATACCAAAATGAGGAAAGAGACTGAAAAGGTTTTATTTTAATGATATTCTACCAGTCAAAGTGTCTTTTAAATAATGCTCTTAATTGCTTTGAAACATATTCTGACATTATACTAATCACAAGTTTTGTTGTTTCTTTTAGAACTCCTTCAGGAATGTAGAGATTCATGGATATGGTAAGAGTAGCTAAGATCAAAGTCTTCTGGGAAGTTTTCCTTAATAAAATGAACTCCCTTGCAGTCAGCTTTTTTAAAATTTCAAGGTTTTATGGCGGGTCTCATTTCCTTTCCAACCCACATGAAATTTGAAAGTGTCAATAGGAAATGAAACCCTTACAACGAAAGAAGCTTCTAAGTGTTTGCTGATAATAGTGAGAGTCAGGAGAATTAAAGAGAATAATGTAGTTGAACAAAGTAAATAAACAATAATTTGCTTAAGAAACTTCTCTGCCCTCTCATATACCAGACTTACGAGACTTCAACACAAAACAGCGATCCACACTATAAAAATTATAAATGATGGACATTTTTATCAAAAGAACTACAGAAAATATATCCTCATATTCTAATTTAAAACTTCAGGCATGGATTGATAATCTTAGGTGGAATGTCCACTGAAAACAAGAAGAACAACAGTCCCACAAAAGTGGTGGCAGAAGGCGGCTATGGCCTGGTTTAGATCCAGCCCCTCCAGTGACTAGCTGGATGGCCCTAGCAGGTTTCTTAACCTCTGCACTCCAGTCTCCTCTCTAAAGTAGGAATAACATCACCTGCCTTGTAAGTTACATAGGCACACGGAGTCCCTAGCAAGGGGTCTGGTGAGAAGCATCCAGTGAGTGCATGCTCAATGTCCACTGCTTGCCTTCTTTCTGGGTCCAGGTAACATGCCACTGTGGTCAAAGAAGCCTTTCCCAACTTCAAGTGTCCTCCCTGCTTGGAACTCTGAAGTACCTGAACAGTTTAGAGACAGAAAACGAAAGGGACAGAGAAAAGGAATCTGAAGTAGAAGAACAGTGACATGGGTTAAGATGGAAAAAGAAGTAGAAAAGTTAGAAGAGTAAGTAGTCCAGGTTATCTGGAGCCCAAATATACAGATTGGAAAGGTAGGTTCTAGAAAATGATGCTACCATTTTTAAAGCATCCTGTACACACTAAGCATTCAATAAATGAGGGCAGTTTATCCAATAGATCACTGTCACATGTACTGCACAGTCGGTTACCAGTAGTGAGGAGAACATCAGGCCATTCTTCCTCAGAGGTGGGAGAAAGCAGAGTGCTCCTCAACAGTGGGCTGCCTGCCTTTCCCAGACCATTGAACCCAGAGGCTAGGAACAAGAGACACCCCAGGAAGCAGGCAAGGATGCTAAGGAAGCATACTACTGAAAGAACTGGTAGGCTCTGAACACTACATCATTTTATGGCAGTTCACATAAACAGAGCCCCAAATAATTAGTATTATAAGCAATCTGTTTTTTCATACACTTTATATTTAGTGCATATTATTTCTATTTAATTGAATATTTATTTCAAAAGAGAGAGGAGAAAAGAACAAACAAAATGGGTCTCAAGTTATATCTTTGTATGCACACAGTTGACAAACAGACATTAGCTCACAACAAAAAATTTTCAAAAATGAAGACCCCACTTACTTGCCAGTTCAATGATTTCCATCCTCTCTCCATCAACATCCTGACCTACAAAACTTAAGTCTTTCTGCTCAAGTTGGCTGATTAGGCTAGGATTCACCTGGAAAAACAAGAAATTAAGTGTCTTTGGACAGCAGAGCAATACAGACATATCTTATGAAAATGATTTTCCATTTTGGTGATGCTCTAACTAGTAGTTAATTTCCATTTATAGTCAAACCTCAAAGCCTATTTTTAAACTCATAATGAACCTGAGAAATAGTTTAATCACAGCCCTTAAATCTGGAAGGCCCATCTTCTGTTGCCCAAAGATAAGTTTCAAAAAGTAGGACTCTGAGATTACTCCAAACTAGAAAGTTTCCACACGTGAAGGAAACCATCATCAAAACAAGGAGGCAGGGAATTTCCTGGCAGTTCAGTGGTTACAACTCCTAACTTCTACTGCAGGGCTCCTGGGTTCAGTTCCTAGTTAAGGAACTAAGATCCCTCAAGCCCACGGTGAGGCCAAAAGACTAACAAACCAAACAAAACAAGGCAACCTACTGAATGGAAGAAGGTATTTGCAAATCACACATCTGATAAAGGGTTAATATCCAAAATATATAAAGAACTCATACCCTTCAATACCAAAAAAGAAAAATTTTTAAATGGGCAGAGGATCTGAATAGACATTTTTCCAAAAAGACATATAGGTGGCCAAAAGGTACATGAAAAGATGTTCAACATCACTAAATGTCAAGTAAATGTAAATCAGAACCACAATGAGTTACCAGCTCACACCTGCTAGAAAGGTTATCATCAAAAAGACAGGGAATAACAAATGTGAGAAAGGATGTAAAGAAAAGTCCCACAATGGTGATGGGACTGTAAATTGGTCCAGTCACTATGGAAAACAGGATGGACACTCCTCAAAAAACTAAGACTAAAACTACCATATGACTTAGCTATTCCACTTCTGGGTACTTATTCAAAGAACATGAAAACTCAAATTCAAAAAGATATATGCACACTATGTTCACTGGAGTATTATTTACAATTGCCAAGACATGGAGACAACATAAGTTTCCACTGATGGATAAAGAAGATGTGAGAATATATATATATATATATATATATATATATATATATATATATATATATATAAAACAGAATACTACCCAGCCACAAAAAAGAATAAAAACATGACTTTTGCAAAACAATATGGATGGACCTTGAGGCTACTATGCTAAGTGAAATAAATCAAAGAAAGACAAATATGATTTCATTCACATGTTGGATCTAAAAGAAAACAAAACCAATGAACAAACAAAATAAAACAAAAACAATTCACAGAGAACAGAATAGTGGTGACCAGCTGCGAAGGGGGTTGGAGGGTAGGCAAAATGGGTGAAGGGGATCGACTGCATGATGATGGATGGTAACTAGACTTTCTCTCTTGAAACCTTGAGACTAGCTTTTTATAGCCATCCTCCTACTTGCTTCTTCCCTTGAATTATGTGTAATAAACTATCTCTCCCCAAATGACAAATCTACTTGAGGACTGAAACTATCTTATTTCTCATGTGACTAAACCAAAATCTTTCTTTATACATAGTTACATAATTGCTCTAAAGAGAAGCTTGGAACAAGTTTTCTACCAAAACACTGGTTATAGATGACACCTTGATGACATGGTTCACAGCCCCTTCCCTCATTCATGTCATCAGAGGCCCTTTCCCAAACTTTTCAGCCTCTCCTTCACAGAAAGTGTTTCCTCATCTAAAATCAAAGTGGGGTCCCACCTGTTTGTCTCAATCTTAACCCCATATGCATACATGTGTGCAAGGTCAGTCGCTTCAGACACGTTCGACTCTCTGTGACCCACCAGGCTCCTCTGTCATGGGATTCTCCAGGCAAGAATACTGGAGTGAGTTGTCATTCCCTTCTCCATGGGATCTTCCTGACCCAGCGATCGAACCCACGTCTCCTGAACTGCAGGTGGATTCTTTACCACTGAGCAACCGGGGACAAGCCCTTACTCCACAGTAATTTAGTGTGACAGATGTACCTCATATCGATGTCTGTGTCTTTCTTCTATGAAAGGTACATCACCATAAAGTTTCCCTGTAAAGATATGAAAGTGAAATTAATACTGGAGTAATCACCTTTGGAACCACATCCATGGCATTTGTGTGGGAGAAATCTCTTTGATCTCTGTCTATCAAAGGCCTAAAAATGAACTAGACTTTAGATAGTAATCTCGATTTTCTTTTCTTATAGGACAGTGAGAGCTCCTTTGAAACCCTGAAGCAGTTCTCAAGTAAGCCATTACCAGTGTGCAAAGGGAAGCCTACCATGGACCGCAGCGAAGACTTCACACGCCTGCCTGCAGGGCCGAAAGCCCCAGTGACGTCTGCGCCATAGTACCTGAGCAGATTTCGTTAACAGGGCTCCTTTTACAAAAGAAGAAAATGAAACCAGGGGAAGGGAAAAGAAACCAAAGGACTTGCCCAAAGCCCAGGCCCGCTGGCTGCATAGTCCTGTCTGGAGCCCAGACCTCCTTACTCCTGGTCCAACGCTTTCTCCACTATGCCAGCCACCTCTGCTTTCACATGGTACTGGCCACACTGGTTTACATCCCACTTTAAAAATATGCCTACACTTTGACTAAAATTTGACCTCTAAGAATTTACCCCAGAAAACAGAAACAAGGACACAGAGGCAACCACGAGGATGTGACCTGCTGCGTTCTTAGCAGGGGACAATCGGGAAGCAGTGTCACCTCAGGAACAGAGGGCTGCTGGCATGAATGAGGGCACAGTGCCATGCACAGTTCTCACCCAGGGGTGTGTAGTGCAGAATCACACATGGGCCTACTTAGACAGGCCTATGTTGCAGTGGGGGCCACAGCCCAAGGCAGCAACTTGGGAATATCTGTCTGGGATGGACACAGGGGTCAGTGGGATGCCCAGTGACCCAGTGTAAAGTAGCCAGGAGCAGGGTCTGTCACCAGACACCTCTCTCTCAAGAACAGGCCCCAGAGGGCACATGGAGAAGGAGGGTGGCCAAGTGGGTCACAGCACCGGAGCCGCTGCAGGAGCACTAGCCCTCAGCATGCAGAGCCCAGGCTCACAGCCCGCGGACAGGAAGACTCTGTGACGGTGCTGGAACACGCGGCCGAGCCCCAGCAGAATCAGGAGCAGGTCTCCACTTCACAGGCAGGGGGTTACCAGACTCTCCAAGATGTCATCAGGCCACGGAACAGGATGTTTCAACCAAGAAAGACCCAATGCCTCACATCCCATTTGAGCTTTTGACCTGGATAAAGAAAACGCAAACTGACTGTATTCTCTATGACTTGGTATGATCAATTATCGTTCCTGAACTTCCACTTGCAATTCTGTGCATCTAGACTGAGTTCCCTGGTGACGATGTTAATGACAGTGAATATTGAAGGTATGTGCTTTAGAAGAAAAATGGGCAATAGTAGGAGCCAGGAACTCCTTTGAGAAAACTCCAACATGCCTCTGCCAAGGAGTCATTTGAGACAGAGCCTCTGTACTCAAACTATTGGTTCATAAAAATGAAAGAAAAATTGGAAGACAGTAGCACGATAATGCCCAGTTGGAAAAAACGGAGACATATATCATGAAGTTACAAGAAAAAGCAGCTGAAAGATCTGAACCTAACTTTGGGAGGATTCTGATTCTCCTCTAACCTCTGATTTTGTCTTTGATATTCTTCTAGTTCAAAATGTCTTCTCTGCTTCCTTCATTAGAACAGATGACTAAGCAAATCCAGTAACAGAGTCAGCCAATACTAACAGGTGGTGAAGAAAATGGAGAACCCTCCAAAGATAAGGAATTATATTGAAGAGTTATACTTGAGTCATTGCGACTAGCAGGATATGGTGCAAACTTTTGAACCTGTGTGGCTTGTGCCTGCTGCCTGGCTTAAGGCAAACTTTTGCTTGCTATGAAATCACAGAGGTGATAGGAAGAGAGGAGGTAGAGTGACTCTGGATCCAGACTGCCTGGCTTTAAATTCCACGATATCATGTAATGGATGTGTGCCTTGGGCAAATTACTTCACCTCTCTGCCTCAGCTTCCTCATCTATAAAATAGGGGTAATGATAGTCTCTACTTCATGGCGTTGTTGTAAGGAATGAATAAATCAAAACATGTGATACACCTAAAACAGTAAGTAAACCATGTGATTGCTATTGTTATCTCTAGACTATGAAATCTAAACAGAAAGAATAGAAGCTAGAACATAAGTTCTACAAGATAACAGACAATATAGGGACCCATTCCCTCAATTCTTGTGACTAGTGTCTAGCACATAGGCAGGTACTCGATACATATTTGTTTAATGAATGAAGCATATATATGGGAGGGTGTATATGGTACATGATGGAATGTTTACAGAACTTTGGAAATGTTCTGTGCACTCAAAATCTTAATCACTGACAAATCTATTAAGAATGAATTGATGAAATTAATCCATTGTCATATCTATAAAAAAAGAAGCAAGTAGCAGCAAAATTTTAGAAAAAGAAATCTGATAGTCTTAGGACCTACAAAATACTCTCAATGTAGGCAGCAAGACCCCAACAATGCATATAACAGCATCATCAGAAACAAAAACTGCCAAATGACACCATCTCCTTCTCTAATTCACTACTGGGTAGATTCTGGCTCATATATAAAATATATTTAACCACTAACAGTCCTGCCAATCCCCACCCTCCTGTTAGTAATCCTAGCATCTGAACCTGAACCTTTCTCTTTCCTTTTCAGAGCAAAAACTTCCCCCCTCCCAAAAGCTATACAAGCTGAAAGGTGGGAACAATCCAAATGTCCATGGACAGACAAATGGATAAACAAGAATGGTATATACATAGAATGGAATATTATGCAACCTTAAAAAGGAAGGAAATCCTGACACACGCTACCCATATGGATGAACCCTGAGGACTAAAAGCTAAATGAAATAAGTCAGCCACAAAAAGCAAATGCTAGATGACTCCACATCTATGAGGTACACAGAGTCGTAAAATTCTCAGAGAGAGAAAGCAGAATGGTGGTTGCAGGGGTTGGGGGCAAGAGGAATCAGAAGTTGTTAAATGGGTAAAAGTTTTAGTTTTGCAAGATGAAAAAGTTCTGCAGATCGGTTGCACACCAATGTGACTATACTGGATTGTACACATAGAAACGGTTAAGACAGCAAGTTTTCTGTTATGTGTATTTTAGTACAATTAAAAATTTTAAAGTAAAAGGTATACATCCTCATTCTTGCCCCCACCATTCCCGCTTCTTCTGAGACATCCTTTATCCAAACCCCTCATCCCTACCCTTTGCAACCCAGCTTTTGTTTCTGTCATTTTACTGAACTGCTCTCTAAAACCCAACAGATCTGTCCTCAGTGGGGACCCGAGTAATGCCCCATCCCCCATCTGTGACCTCTGCTCCTCTCTGGACTCCCCTTGCCCCGCCTACCTGATCTGCATCCGCCACTGGGGACAACTGCCCAAACTTAACGCCCTCCCTTCCTCTCCCACCTTCACTACCCCCAGGAAGCTGTCAGTCTGTCAGTCGTATGCTCCCTTGCTATACCTCCTGATCCTTACCTTTCACCTGGCCTACACATTCCCTATTCTCAGAGGGCTAAAGGAAATCTCCCAGAGCGTGTTGCTGTTCAGTTGCTCAGTCATGTCTGACACTTTGCGACCCCATGGCCTGCAGCACACAGACTTCCCTGTCCACCATCTCCCGAAGTTTGCTCAAACTCATGTCCACTGAGTTGGTGGTGCCATCCAACCATCTCATTTTCTGTTGCCCCCTTCTCCTCCTGCCTTCAATCTTTCCCAGCATCCAGGTCTTTTCCAATAAATCAGCTCTTTGTATCAGGTGGCCAAAGTATTGAAGCTGCAGCTTCAGCATCATCAGTCCTTCCAATGAATATTCACGGTTGATTTCTTTTAGGATTGACTGGTTTCATCTCCTTACTTTGCAACCATAGTGTGCAAAAGCTAAAATCACTACCTGATAAGCTTCGTTACCTCTCTCTCTTGGTAGACCTGCCATGCTTTTGCACAAACATCTCTCAACTGCTGTAGTGGTGTCTTAACTTGACTCATTTTTAAGACTTCCCAGAACCTTGTCCTGAATTAATTAGACATTATAGGAGCTAGAGCTCTCTATGTCTATGCAAGAATTTGCTACTGTTTGTCTAATTCAGAGACCCCAAGAGGCTGCCCAGAGTGCAGATTTTTGGTATATTTGGCTTGCACAGTGTTGGCAAACACAAGTGTTTTTATTTTTTAAATAAGTTGCCAACATTTAAAAATCAGGAAGATTTCTCATAAAACTCTGGATTTCCAGATTCTCTTAAAAATTTAGAAGCCTGGCAACAGTGAATCCACAGTTCTTCATGTGACTATCAGCTGTAGCAGTTACTCTTTTGATGGGTCAAGTGCTTGTCAACTTGTCCCAGGCCTGACCACTCCCTAGGGCCTCTCCAACTCTGAGGCCCACTATAATAGCCACTGATTGTTGAGCGTAAGCCATGGCATTTCCTACACTTGGCCGTGTGACTCATTCACATTCCCTACCTGGACCTACTGGCCCAGCTGCTCAATCCAAGGTTGATTCAGTGTCCCTCTCAAGCCAACCACCTGGTTTCGATCGGCTTTCAGAAGCCAGGGGTGGGTTCTTCACTCCCTGAACCTCCAGCTCTCCTCCATGAGACACTCCCCATGAAACCTGTGGAAGCCTGTTTTGGGGCTCTGGGCATGAGGAGGCTCAGCTCTGGGAGCTGTTCAGGGGTTTCCATCCCTTCTTTGACTAAGGTCTATCCATTTGTCAAAGTGAGGTGGTCAAGAGTTCAGGCTCTTAAATCAGCTCAGTCACTTTCGAACAGGTGACTTCACCATGCTGCGATGCTGTTCTCTTGTGCAGAATGCATCTGGATCCCAGGGGTATCGAGAAGGATAATTGAAAAAGATGCCCATCGTGTCCTAGTGACTAGTGCTTAGAAAGTGCACAGTCTGGGCCAGTTGCTATCTTTCTCCTTCTCCATTTTTCACTTTTGGATTTTAGCAAATCAGTCCTTTAATTTTTAG